AAGTCTGTGGAAGAATTCCATTATCTTTTCATTCCGTTTTCCATGAACTCTTTGAAGCTTCCATATACAGTTACTACCTAAAAATAATGATTACTCTGAAGCTGAAAGATTAAATCAAAGCTATGTTATTAACATTGATTTGCAAACGAATATCCCCTCTAAATATTCATGTGAAAAATAAATATTAAGAGGACCGTGACCTGAAGCATTAGGTCATTTTGATCTGATTTTCATATACAAGGAAAAGACGTAGACAAGAATTCCAGTAGTTCCCATCCCTTTTCCAGGGCAGTTGGGAAGTTGTTTACTCTTTGAGGGCCTACTGCTGACGTCTGCTCACTGAGTAATGTCATCAGATTTCCTGGTGGTGGTTATTTTGGGGGGGCCGTGGTAAGTAGTTATCCGGCTCCATTGGGCCTCTCCTCCACCAAGGTCCTCACAGCCGGATATACCCCATAGACAGGATGCAAGGTTAAATGCAGTCTAGTTAAGTAAATAAAGTAAGCATTCATGGTAAAAGAGCTGCTGAAACATTAATGTTTTAAAGTTATACTGCTAAAATTATACAGAGCAAAATTCATAGTCTTAAATCCTTTAAAGAAATAAATCTTTTAATACTTAAATCCAACGGTGTGTTGTTTTTATAAGTTGAGATCAAGTTTGCCCCCCTTTATAAAAGCAAAGCTCTGTCACCAACTTTGGAATCATTGTTTTTCTAGAAGGGTTGAGTTTTTTTGCCCAGAGCCATCCTTATATCTTGTCCCTGAACTGTGGCCTGAACACTGTATTTTAATCTCTCTAGTCATTAACATTTGAAAAATACATTAATTGCTGCCTTTAACCTTCCTTCCTTCCTACTGATTTCCTGAAGTTTCTGTCAACTCTTAAATGTAATAATTTAAAAGCTTAGCATATTCAGTCTTTTGTTTCATGACAAAAATAATTTTGCCCTCTGAGTATAATTTAGCAATATCCTGTACATTTTATTATATTCCCCCTTAATATTTTTCAAGTAATCTGTAGCTGTAGTTTATACTTTCCTCTTAAAATTCAGCAGTTGTGTAAGGTAATTTTTTTTTTTTTTTCATTTAGGGGCGGAGGATAATTTGTTTGATGTTGAAACAGTATTTTAAATTTTTTGTTGGATTGCCTTGTGGTCAAGTACCATAACTGTTTTGTTTTATTTAATGAATAAAACTGTACAGTTCTTACTTTGGAAATATATTTTAAGGTTTTCTTTGTGACCTATATCATAATATTTACAATATTCATATTTCCTATTTCTTCCTACTCAAGAGTTTGTATTATTGACTTGGTGCTTCATAGTGACCTCCCATCCGAGGCTGGAGACCCCAGTTTATGTGAAGGGCCCATTGCTTTGTCTTTGGCGGTTGCAGCTCCTTCTGGTGGTGACTTTTTTGCTTTGTCTTGTGAAACTGCCCACCATTCTGTGGAAAATCAGTGCAGAATGGGTTTCCTTTTCTTTCTCCTTCCTGTCTTACAACAGTTCCATTGTAGTTTCCAAGCAGCAGGCTTGGTTCATTCCTTCTTCTTTCATTCATTCTTTGCTTTAAACTTTATTCATAAGAGTGAACAAGCAAACGGAATCTTTCAGATCGGTCTCTCTCAATGCCTTTTGCTTTCTTTCTTACTGTGAAAGTGTGACTGTCTCCTTCTGATTTCTCTTTAAAGCCTCTCCCTGCCCTTTTGCACCATAATTTTAGGGATTCTGACTTTGGCCTCCAGCTGGGCCAGTTAACACAGCTCTGGAGGGTAGTTGGTGCTCTGGACTACTCAGTCTTAGGTCTGGTATAGGAGCAACCCTCACTGCTTCTTCCCCCATCCAAGAGATGAAATGATTATAAAGCAAATCAGAAACTAGGCCAGTGGCTCATAATTAGCAGGCATCATCTTCTGACAGTTAAAAATGTATACGAATTTCCTCTATCATGGAGTAAGTTTTGTTACATGTACTTACTATAGGCTAGATCACTGCATGTAGGGGAGATTGGAGGTGGGCAGCCACTTAGGAAGCATTTTATAGGAAGTGTCATGGTTCACATACCATCCCCAGAGACCCAGAGTAGGGTGGGTTCCCAGCAGTTCATATGTTGTCTCTGGGCAAGTTGTGAAAATATGTTTGTTCCTTAGAGTAGCAGCCCAGTGTCAGTGTTCATCTTGTAGGGATAGGTATCTGCCCCACCTGCTCCTTCCCTGGGCAACTCTGTGTAATACACAGAGTCCCTAAACCTGTCAGTGCTTCTGGGCTTGCAGCACAAGCTTTAGAGCGATGCAGACTTGGGTCAGAATCCCAGCTCTGCTACTTGCTAGCTGTGTGGCATTAAAGCAAGACATGGAGTTTCTGTTTCGCTACTATGGCCTCTTAACTCGTTGTGTGCAGTTATCCAGACGGGGCATGTACAGCCCTTACACAGTACCTAATACGCACCAAACCCTCCATGGGTGCTGGAATTATTCTTAGGCCATTGGGGCTTTGGGTCTGACCATCATATTTATCTTTGTGTGTTGTTGTGTTAAGTTCTCAAAGGGGAAAGCTTTAATTGGTAAGTACTGTATTAAGTAATGAGATATAAAGTCTTGCCCTTGAGAAGCTCATAGCTTCCTCAGAAAGACCAGTCCGCATGGCGGACCAGGACAAGGACTTGAAAAGGCAAGCGAAGGAGACCTGTTTTCGGTCAGATTTACAACTGTTCTCTCAGACACATGGTTCAGCCAGTCTCAGTTGGGTAAAGAAACTGGACCTAGAGACCCTCCTGGCAGTTGAAGAAGCTTATGAAGTCTTGATGATAGTGTTTGAAATTAATCTCAGTGAAATAGATACTGTCAAAGAAAATGGAAATTATTAAAGTTGACTCAGGAAGAATTTACCTGGACGTCTACCACGAAAGAGTTGGGTAAACACAGTGCCTTTGGTGTCCTGGTTTAGACAAAATTTGGGAAAAACCTGATTCTTAGTAACTGTGCTGGAGTCAGCTCCAAGGCTTTCCATCAGGCCTCACTGGAGCAGAAAGCCTCCTCCTTCACCCACGGAGCAGCTGGCAGGCTCAGATCCCAAACCTTGTGGTTCTCAGTTCAGTTTTTACCTTACTGAGCCACTACACTCCTCCGAAACCCTATACAGGGTCGCAGTGAGTTGAAAGCAACTCCATGGCACTTACCAGCAGCAATACGGTGTCTGAGGAACAATTGATGGGTTTGAACCACTGATCGTGCAGTTAGCAATATCAGTGTTTATCCTACAGTGAGTGCTACAACAGAAACCAAACACACAGGAGAGAGGCCTGGGCTTGACTTAGAGATAAAGGAAGCACCCTGGACAAAGGCATGGGGGCTGGAAGGACAGACTGAGGGGGGAGCCACCAGCACATTGGTGTTACCCCTGCAACAGGGGGACAGGGAGGAGACTGTGAGGTCGGAAGGGATCTCTGTCCAAAGAGTTGGGATCCAGAGTTCTTGTCATGCCTCTACTGTTTATTCGTTGTGATTCTCTAGGCTAGTCACTTCCTGTCTCTGGGCCTCAAGCCCCAGCACAGTTCTGCACTTACACACATGCAGTCACCATGAGTCAGAGCCCACTGCATGACTGTGCGCTGTTGTGTCTGCGAGGAGAGAATGAAGAGCTGTGATTGGTTCCCAGTAAGGTGTCTGGCTTCTAACAGCCATGATATGACTGGAGGATTTCATTATTCCTGTTCCACTTTAGAGACAGGATTTCACCATTCATCATGGGAAAGATGGAAGTAGGAATGGAAGGAACGGCAGGTGCATATTCAGTGTCTACTCTCTGGAGGCTCTTTGGAAAGTAATCTCCCTTGATCTTTGTTAAACCGAAAAAACAAAGTCTTCACCCATTGAATCGGTTCTGACTCACAGTGACCCTATGGTTGGTGGTGGTTGTGTGCCGTGGAGTCAGTTCTGACTCACAGTGACCCTATGGTTGGTGGTGGTTGGGTGCCGTGGAGTCAGTTCTGACTCACAGTGACCCTATGGTTGTTATTGGTGGTTGGGTGCCGTGGAGTCAGTTCCGCCTCCTAGTGACCCCATGTAGGGTTTTGAAGGCTATAAATCTTTACGGGAGCAGAAAGCCTCATCTTTCGCCCATGGAGTGGCTGGTAGTGTTGAACTGCTGACTTTGCAGTTAGCAGCCCAACTTGCAACCCACTACGCTGTAAGAGCTCAAAGAGCTCAGTTACCAGTGAGCCCATATGGTTGTTAAATGCCGTTGAGTTGGTTCCAATCTGTAGTGATCCAGTATAAGGCTTCTAAGGAGTGACTGGTGAGCTTGAACTGCCAATCCTGTGATTCAAACCAACCTTAAGGTCCAGTGCTTACCCTACAGTATACAGTGCCACACCAGGACTCTTTGGTGACCCTATGTTGTTGTTATGAAGTGCCGTCGAGTCGATTCCAACCCATAGTGACCCTGTATAGAGTTTCCGAGGAGCAACTGGTGAGCTTGAACTGCCAACCTTGCAGTTGAAACAGCTTTGCAGTCTGGCGCATTAACCCACAACGCCACACCAGGACTCCTATAGGGCAGAGTCAAACTGCCCTTTAGGATTTCCAAACTGTAAATCTTTGTGGAAGCAGACAGCTTCGTCTTTTTTCTGAGGAGCAGGTGGTAGGTTTGAATTGCCGACCTTGCAGATAGTAGTCCAGTGCCTATCCTACAGGCACTTCTTTTATAAATGAGGAAATTGAAATTGAGGGAGGTTGAATAAGTTGCTGAAAATCCTACACAGCTACTAGAAGGCAAAGCCGGGATCACACTCACTGTATTTTTCCCTCTTAGTTCCCTACCATCTCTGAACTTTGTAAAGAGCTCCTTGAATATTTCATAATTATTTCTCTACCTACTTATTCACTTTATATGATCTCTCTCGAGTAGAAATATCACTTTTTCTGTGGCACTGACAAGAGAGAAAATTTTAAGCAAGCTTCTGTTTTTCTTAATTTTTCAGTAAGTCTCTTTCTTACAGGTAGCTGATGTGCAGTTTGGCCCTATGAGATTTCATCAAGATCAACTTCAGGTAATACTCAAATGCAGTAAATAATGAACTCTGTCATAATTTTCATAGGTTGACCTTCTTTACAGAGGGGGAGGGAGAGGGGAAGGAAAGTCCTCTGTGTTAGATAATGGAACCCCTGGTGTGGCACTGTGGGTTAAAGCGTCAGACTGCAAAGCCCCGTTTGAACTGCAAGGTCAGCAGTTCAAGCTCACCAGCTGCTCCTCGGAAACCCTGTACAGGATCACTGTGGGTCAGAATCGACTTGGCAGCACTTACCAACAACAGCAATGTTAGATCATCGCATTGGATCAGTGTTAAATTTTCTGAACTTCCTAACAGTTCCGTGGTTAGGTAAGGGAATACTCTTTATTTAATACACATTGGGGGTGTTCAGAGGTGAAGAGATGCCTACGGTCTACTTTAAAATGGTTCCAGACAAAAAATATTTGTTTGTGGGGAGGGGGGTGGTGGGGGCAGAAGGTAAGGTGAATCTAGAGCATGTGCTAGTGTTCGCTGTCATTTGCAACTTTTCTGTAGGTCAGAAAGTTTCCAGGATGAGAAATAAAAGGTCTCCTTTATGTTGGTGAATCAACCCTGTCTATTGAAGAAGAAGAAATGTCTATAGTTTATCTAACCCAAAATATTATAAAATATTTTGGGTTAGTTACTGATGTCATTTAATTTAACCCCCAAATTATTTGGTGCTTTCTACAAAGAAATGCATGTTCACTATTACATTTAAAAAAAAAAAAAAAAAAGAGGGGGGTGGCAGAAACATGCATTCGTTCTTTGTTGTGGTTATTTGTGCAATTGGATAAATTTAGAGGAACTAAGCCTTGGAGTCCTGGTGTGATGCTGTGGGTTGATGTGCTAGACTGCAAAGTCAGTTTGAACCGCAAGGTCGGCGATTCAAGCTCACCAACTGCTCCTCGGAAGCCCTATTCAGGGTCTCTATGGGTCAGAACCAAGTCGACGGCACTTAACAACAAGAAAAGGAACAAGCCTTAGAGAAATAGATTTTCTGTCGATGCATAGTATATCTCCTCACTGCCATACTGCATTGGTCAGTCTGGTGTAAAAGGGTGGATTTGAACTGCCGACCTTGAGGTTAGCAGTCTAGTGCTTTTCCTATAGTGCTACACCAGGACCCCAAGTATTCCAATAATTTTGAGACAATACTGCATCTTTTTATTGACACAATATCGAATTTACCATCCTACTTAGTGTTACTTGCTACTAAGATAAATAATCACATTTTCGTTTATTTTGCTTCAAGATAAAATGCTTAAGAATTTATTATTTTTATAATTTTATTTTTGTTGAGTTCTGCTCTTCTGGACTTCCAAACTCAGAACAGATAGAAAACGGCGTTAATTTCAGGGACCTAAGGGATAATGCCCCTGGCCCATGACTAGCAAAAGGATTTATATTGACAAATTATTGTATACGTCATGCGCTTGTTTTGAAAACACTTGGAAATGATGTGTGGTTTGTTAAGAACTGACAATTCTAGTAGCTTCTTTGTTTTTGTTTTAAGTGCTCATGCTTTTTTGATCCAGGTGCTTTTAGTGTTTCCCAAAGAAGATAGCCAGTGTAACGGATTCTCTAGGGCCTGTGAAAAGGCAGCGTTTACCTGTACAGTCACCAAGGAGCCTCAGGCTGTCCTTGCCTGCTTCCTGGACAAACATCATGACATCATCGTCATAGACCACAGACATCCCAGACAGCTGGACGCAGATGTGCTGTGCAGGTAAGTCTGGGACTCATGCCTGAATAGTACTGTTGACATAAGCAATCGTAAATATAGGCCAGAAGTACATTACGTTAAATGCTGTCTCTCTTTGAAGGCATGAGTTTGCCTTCCATGCATACAAAATAAAATATTGGATTACCATTCTTTCGAGAACTAATCTTACTGTCTGTTTTGTTTTACTTTGCTTACATCAGTAAGAAATTATGAAAGAACCATAAAGGTTTACTCTGAGGCTCAGTGTGTAATTACCCACAGCAATCATCTGCATGTATATTACCAAAACAAGAATTATTATAACTTTCCAAAGATTTTGCAAGTTGTCGTCTAATGTCAGGTGAATGTACCTTGTGTCTAATGCTTGCAGAGCATCACTGTCCTAAGAGTCTTCTGAGTAGCAGATACAAATCTAAGAGAAGGACTTTTAAAAGGAACTTTTTTGCTGCTGTTAGAAGAAAGGCAAAGTAAAATACCTGTTTCTATTTAATAAAAAACTTTATTTTACAGTAGGCAAATCATAATTTTAATAAAACAGAATTTTGTTGTGGTTGTGTGTTGTCAAATCAGTTTCAGCTCATGTTGTTGTTGTGAAGTGCCATTGAGTTGGTTCCAACCTATAGAGACCCTGTATAGGGTTTCCGAGGAGTGGCTGGTGAGTTTGAACCACCAATCTTGAGGGTCAAACGGACTTTGTAGTCTAGTGCTTTTACCCTACAGTTCCACACTCCAACTCATCAGCCTTGTACAAGGACTTCTGAGAGCGGCTGGTGAGTGTGAACTGCCAGCCTTGCAGTTACGTACCCCACCAAGGCTAATTTTAAGGGAATTTAAACAGATTCAGGTGGTATGGTGGCTCTAGAGGATAAGCAGCACCCTGTGAACCACAAGGCTGGTGATTGAAGCGCACGGACGCTTTCCACTTCCACAAAGACTTACCTCAAAACTCCTACACAGGGCCATTATGAGTTGGAACAGACTCGATGGCTGTTAACACCAATAACACATTGATAGTGCAATGATTACAAGTCAGGCTACTAACCTCAAGGTCAGCAGTTCAAAACTACCAGCAGTTCGTGGGAGAAAGATGAGGCTTTCTGCTCCTGTAAAGATGTACAGCCTCGGAAACCCTATACAAGGTCGCTATGAGTCGGAACCGACTCCGTGGCACATACCTCCACCACTATTGTAACAAGGGTATGTGGTGATTTCCATGTGTATTTATTCTCCTTGGTGGGGAGAACCCACATTCCAGCTAGACAGACTAGGTAGCTTTCATCCTAAGTGGTTTTGCCGTAGTAGAGGTTTCCCTCTGACTTTGAGCTCCAGCCTGAAGTACTGCCTGTGTTAATAGAGTGGAATCCACAGTAAGCAGTTACCATTGCATTCCAGATGTGTTTGACCTGCCTTTTGGCTAGCCACTTAGCATGGGCACAAGGGCCTGCAGCTCAGGAGCAGTGGAGAACTCTGATCAAGGCTGAAGGAGGCTCAGTGCTAGGCTTGACTCTTCTTTTGACTAGCTGCTTAACTTGGGCTAACTCTTTGCCTTTTCTGGAGATATGTTCTTTCACCTGTAAATTTGGAACAGGTCGTTTCCAAGATCGCTTCATTATCTAGTTAATGGTTTTCACTCAGAGAAAGGAAGAAAATATCTAAAGAAGGTGATGCTTAGTGTAGTATTGGTTGACTGCTGTAAGATAGAAGAGGTATCTAAGGAAGACCATAGGGCCACTAAAATAGAAACGCTAAGGAGAGGGTAAGGAACTGAGGAAAACTCAGCTTCTTTTCCAGTCTTGCCCAGGCCCAGCCTAGCCACAGGTATGTGCTGAACAATGAAAATTCATGCTCATAAAGAGGACTCTGTTAGGTCCTGTATTATCAAAGAAAGGTTAAACCCAAACCATAAAGCCCAACCCATTGCCCTTGAGTCAGCTGCGACTCATAGCAACCCTGTTAGAAGACAGAGTCGGCCTTCCCACACTTGTTCCCAAGACTAATCTTTACAGGAGCTTGCAGATTGAGTACCTATCCAGTGTGTCACCAGAACTCCTTAAAGAAAGCCTAAAGTATGTTCAGTTACACTCCACTTTTTAAGGGAGAAAAATGTATTATTTTTATGTATTTTTATATGGCAGTACTAAAGTACTGTGAATTCAACCCGGATTTTTTGTGTGTGAAACCCTGTATAAGAGAGTTTTCTAGATCCAAAATACATAAAGTGAAGTTATTAGAAGTTTATAGTCTAGTAGAGTTGAAGTATTTAAATGAAAAATCTTATTGTTACATAATATTGTTGTTAGCTGCCATCAAGGTGGTTCTGACTCATAATGATTTTACAAACATCAGAATGAAACACTGCCCTGCACCACCCTCAGAATCTGTCCTGTGTCTGACTCTATTGTGGCAGCCACTACATCAGTCTGTCTCATTGGGGGTCTTCCTCTTCCTCACTGACCCTCTACTTTACCAAGCATGATGTCCTTCTCCAGGGACTGGTCCCTCCTAATAACTTGTCCAAAGTACATGAGACCAAGTCTCACCGTCTTCACTTCTAAGGAGCATCCTAGCTGTTCGTCTGGCAGTTCATGGTACGTTCACTATTCTCTGCTAATACTGTAATTCAAGTTCTTCCCCGGTCTCCCTATTCATTATCCATCCAGCTTTCCCATGCATATTGAAAAAGCCAAACAATTGAAAATATCATACGATTGAAAATAATGGCTTGAGCAGGTGCATCTTCATTCTCAAAGTGACATCTTTTCACTTTTGCAGCAGATCCATCCAATGCAATACATCTTCTGAGTTCTCAACTACTGCTTCCATAGGTGTTGATTGTGGCTCTAAGTAAAATGAAATTCTTGACACCTTCAGTCCTTTCTCCAGTTATTGTGAAGTTGTTTTTACTCCAGTTGTGAGGATTTTTGTTTTTGTTTTATGCTGAGGCTTAATCCATCCTGAAGTCTGTAGTCCATACTGACAAAGACTACAGACTTCAGTTTGGAAAAATAATAATAAAATAACAAAATTTCATAAGCATTATAGTTGAGTTTTCTCATTTTGTGAATAAGTTTATACAGCTTTTAAAATAAAGAATGTGAACTGGATGTGTTGTTGTTAAGTGCTGGTGAGTCAGTTCTGACTCATAGCAGTGGAGGGAGGAGCAGCTGGTGGGTTTGAACTGCCAACCTTGTGGTTTGCAGTCCAGTCCTGATTCTACAGCTCTACAATGTCATGTGCATATCTTATTTACAAATTCCTGTTATCATCCATCCAGACTTTGATGTGGATTTAGGACTTCCCAAGGAAGTCACTGGCGAAGGATATCATGTTAGGTAAGGGTCAGAGAAAAAGAAGACCCCCAGAGAGATGGATTGGCACAGTGGCAGCATCAATGGGCTCAAATGTAGAATGATTTTGAGGTTGACCCAGGACCAGGCAGTGTTTCATTCGCTTGTGACTAGGGTCGCTATTGAGTCAGTACCGACTCAATGGCACCTAACAACAAGGAAAAACTGACATCCAGACGTTGTTCTCCCTCATGTTGAGAGATATGACCTACAGGGTCACCTGGTGGTGGTGGTGGTTGTGTGCCTGTCGTTGGCTCAGTTCCGGGGTAGAACTGCTCTCATAGGGTTTTCTAGGCTGCGATCTTTACGGGAATAGATTACCAGGTCTTTTCCTGGGGAGCAAGTGGTGAGTTCAAGTCAGCAGTCTTTTGGTTAGCAGTCCAGCACTTAACCATTGTGTCACCAGGGATCCTTTCACAGAGTCACTAGAGCAGGTCCAATCTGCTCCAGAAGAGAGAGGGTTTCCAACATATAAGGACAGACACTGTGATTCCCTGAGATGTTGTCTTCTTTCTGTATTGAGCACATCCTCACTGCTGTCAGCAGTTCTTCCCAGAGCCTTCTGAAAACCCTCTTATAGTTGAAATCTCATGTAAGTCTGGATGGCTTCGATCAAGGCAGCAAAGAGGGAACAGAATCGGCCCTTCCCTTCTACTCGCCAGAGACCTCAACAGGCGAGCCCTTGATGACCTGCCTTTCCTGCTGGTCTAGTTGCAGCCCAGGTCGCTGTCTAGCAAGTGTTCTACCACATTATCCTCATCCTTCTGGGAGTGGGGAGAGGGTCATTATTAGTGAGTTTACTGAAGGCAAGAGTAGGCCCCTGCCTCTGTTTATTCTAAGTCATTTTGTCTGCCTTCTGGTCCTTAGCTGATTTAACTCCCTAAGACTATCCCCTTTTAAGGACACCTGCCCCTTGTAGATAGTTTCTTCAAGAGATCTTTCCTGGTTCCCCTTCTGCACTTGTGTACCCTTTCTCTCTGCAGAGTTAACCAGCGCTAGCACAGTTGTTTTTCCCCTCCGCCTCCCTTTTGCTATTCCTTTGATTGTGTTTTCATCAGCTGTTGACCTGAGTGACTAACATTCATCTCTCCCTGTCTGTTATGGGTATTTTGGACTCCTTGTACTCCAGATATTCTGAGTCTGCTGTATTTCCCAAATATGACAGCTTAAGAACCCTACAATGCAAGTTTTCTTAGTTTTGGGCACTGTGTTTGGAACTGGACATACACAGATGAATAAGACATGGTTCTTGCCCCTGGGGAGCAAATGCTTTAGTTGGCAAGGCAAGCAAGTGATTTCAGTACAAGATAGTTGTTGTTTTTCTGTGCCGTGGAGTCAGTTCCAACTCATAGTGACCCTGTACAGCGTTTCTGAGGCTATAAAGCTTTTTACGGGAGCAGAAAGCCTCATCTTTCTACCGAGGAACAGCTGGTAGTTTTGAACTGCTGACCATGAGATTAGCAGCCCAATTCGTAACCACAACACTACCAGAGCTCCTTAGTACAAGACAGTAAGTGCCCACAAAGGAAGTATATCCAGAGTGTGTGTTTTTAGGAGGGCTTCACAAGGACACTTTGGATTGAATTCTGAAGGTTGAGCAGGAGTTTTGAAAGGGGGAACGGCCAAGAAAATTTTCCTAAGTAGAGGTGGGAACAGGTGTTAGTGAGCTCAGGGTATCCAGGCCCCCTTTGTGGGGTTTCTGTGGCTGCTGGATCAGGCAGGTGTGGAATGTGGCTGAATGGTGAGGTTGGAGCAGTAGGTCACGAGGGCCTTCATGGGCTGAGCGAAACGCTTTGAACTTCACTCTGTAGGCAGGGGAGACACTGACCTGGTCTATGCAGGAGAGCATCAGGAGCAGAAGGAAAGCTCAGTCTGGCTGCCAAGCTGTGAATGAAGTGGATGAGGCACGTCAGTGAGTTGTGAAGCTGTTGTAGACCATCTCTGCAAAGCCTGACATCAGGGCTTCCTTCCAACTACCTATCAAAACCCAGTGAAGATTGTGGGACAAAGGTTGACCACAGCAGTAAAAACACCAAGATAAGATGTTAGAGATGGTAGAAGCCAAGAAGGCAGAAGAAGACAGATTCCCACTGTACAAAAAGGCTTCAAAAGCTTTGTGGGAAAATAGAATTGAAAGACAATGGAATTTTTGTAAGAGATTTCTGAAGTCTCCTTGAATCTGTTGTGCCATGGGGACTAATTAGGAAGCCTGCTCCGAGATTGTTCCTCTCAGAAGCTGAAAAGGCTTTGCTCTACTCTCACTATGTGTCTCGCCTGGGTTGCTGGAGATACGCTGACCAGAGGAACAGATAGCTACGCCCAGCTGAGCAGCTGTGCTTCTGTGAGCTGGCCAGAAACCTGCCCTCCAGCCCCCTTTATATACTGTCTACATCTATTGGGAAACTGAAGACAGGGAGCAGAGACAGATGGATAGAGGCATAGTGTTTCCTTCAGTGTAGAAGTGACAGAGGCATCAGCAGCCTGGGAACAGTCCTTCACACACTGCACTGTTCACAGACAACAACTTGCATCAGTCTAAGGTTAGGTTCAGAGAAAGCAGCGAGCAGAATGGGAGCCCCCTCTGCATCGGAGCCACGCTGGTGTGCTCTCTGAGCCTGCACTTGCACCCTTTGGCCTGATCTGCAGGTAGACTTAAGAAGACTTAGGAGGAGTTCATCTGCTAATACCAGAGTGTTCCATGGAGAAGGGCTGGGGAAAGCTCTGAGCCTGCTGCTCCCAAACTCTTAGCCTAGGTAGCTGTTGCTTCTGCTTAGAAGTGAGTAACAGGATAAAGAACAGGTCCTATGAAAAGCTACCACAACATAATGGAGGGGAAAATAGCCCTCAGAACTAAGATTCTTTTTGATAAGAAACTGAGGAACCTTTGAGAAGACATATGCTTACTGTGCTCAGAAGACATAGTCCTTTGTACAACAGGAACAGGACTCTGTGTTCTAAAGGGAGCTGGGGAAATAAAGCACCGAGTAGAAACCTCACCTACATCAACACAGAATTCTAATGCATACTGAGTATGGGAGCAAGATTGAACTCAGTACTTGATTTCATTCAGTCTCTTGATTTCCCCTCGGTCCACTTGTTTTGCTTAAGGCACCATTTGGGGGTTGCGGTGCAGGGATGTTCTGTTGTGGTTTCTTGTTATTGTTAAATGCTGTCGAGTCAGTTCCGACCCGTAGTGATCCTGCATAGGGTTTCTGAGGAGCAGTTGGTGAGCTTGAACCATTGACCTTGTAGTTCAAATGGCTTTGTAGTCTGGCGCATTAACCCGCAGCGCCACACCAGGACTCCCCTATTGTGGGTAGCTATGTTTGATCCTAATGATGCACCAAGGTAGCATGATTTTAAGAGCTTGTGTTGTGTTGTCTTTCAGAATCTCATACTAGAGAATCATACCTTATCTTTGTCTGGCCTAGAAATCTGCCTTTTGAAAGTCTGAGTGTACACATTGACTATGCCAAGTCATTTCTTTCATAGTTTACATGACTCTAAAGACGGGGTTCTATTTTTCAGCCCCATTTCTATTTCCTAGCCATTTTATCTTTTTTACTGATCTGAAAAAGCCAACCACACACATTTCTTTTTATAGTGTCTTAGAGCTCCTTTGAAGGGATGGTCTACCCTTTGACTTCATCTTTAGTGCCCATCACTCCTGTATATCCAATATTGGTTAAGTAATCCAGAACTACTTAATCAGGTCATCAGCATGGTTGCCTGCTTGCTGTTGTATTGCACAGATCCCTGTTTTTCTTTTAAGTCTATAAAAGCTGCTTGGGGCTGGCTAACTGCATACAAATTTGCTTTTCCTCTCTCAGATCTCTTTGATTTGTTGGAAACATAACAATAAAAACATACAAGTTGCAAAGAAGCCATGGCAATACCATTTGTGACTCCCTGGTTTTCATTCCCTGTGTAAGAGTAAGTGCTGGGCTGAACAGTCATCATTAGTGTCGCTAACTGAACTGTGTGTGTACTTGTACCTTCATGCTACTAGTGACCATTCCCAGCTGAAGCAGCCCCTCCTATGGCCCCTTCTCTAGGAAACCACGGGCTTGTTCTTCAGACAGGGAGACCATGACTGGACTAGAGATTGGCAGCTGGCCAGCAGGTCCTGCAGTGTGACATGCTGAGAAGGAAGGGTCGTGCAGAAGAGGATCAGCAGATAGGAGCTAAAGGAGCTTGGAGAAGAGAGAGAAAGCAGGAAGGAAGAGAGAGAGGAAGACAGGTTGGCTAGCCGCATGGTCCATGAGAAAACTGCTTTTTCATCTCTGAGTGACTCTTCCACCCCAGGTCTTGTCTACAGCTGTTGACTCCAAGCCTTCCTCAACCCTGATTCCACAAGAAAATTCTCACCCCCCTAAAGTTGTTGTTAGGTATTGTTGAGTCAGTTCCAACTCACAACGACCTCATGCCCAGCAGAACGAAACCCTTCTGGTCCTGAGTCATCCTCACAGTCTTTAAGCTTGAGCCCATTGTTGTTGCCACTGTGCCAGTCCATCTTGTTGGGGGTCTTCTCTGTATCACTGACCCTCCAGTTTACCAAGCATGATAAGTCTTCTCCAGGGACTGGTCCCTCCCGACAGTATGTCCGAAGAATGACAGACTAAAAGTCTCACCATTCTGGTTGTACTTCTTCCAGCACAGATTTGTTTGTTCTTCTGGTAGTCCCTGATAACTTTATTCTTTTCCAACACCATAACTCGAACACATCACTTCTTCTGCGGTCTTCCTTATTCACTGTCCAGCTTTCACATGCACACGAGGCTATTGAACATACCATGGCTTTGGGCCAGACACACTTTAGTTCTCAAACTGACATCTTTGCTCTTGAACACTTTAAATAGACCTGGTACAGCAGGTTTGCCCCATGCAATATGTCATTTGATTTCTTGACTGCTGCTTTCATGAGTGTTGATGGTGGAGCCAAGCAAAATGAAGTCTTTGACAGCTTCAATCTTGTCTCCATTTATCATTTAATCCTAAAGTAGGGATGAGCAAAGGATGACACTGTCATGCCTATTCATGTATGTAGTTCCTGTTGATGCTTCCTTGCTATAGTGGTCAAAACGAGTAATTGCCTCAGAGTTTCTATGGCCTGCAAAGCCTAAAACATTGCTTCTCTGGCCCTTTACAGAAAAAAATCTCCTAAGGCTGAGACATCCCACTGTATATAATGAATTCACTTCTCAGTTATGTGTATGAATGGTTCAGAGTTATGTACCATCCTTGATAGATTTAGAAATAGGCACTCAAATCATTTTCTGTGTTCTGTAATTCAGAAGTTTTCTTTAGCTGACAGAGCTGAAGTCATGCAGTAAGTGTTGGCTGGTCTCTGTCCTATCCTGGATGCATTGGTCTGGGGGCCACGTACACACTTCTGACTTGCCTGGGGCAAGTTGGGTCCCCTCATTCTAAACTCATGCAAATCTCTCCACTTTCCAACAGCTGAGTCCCTCCTTCCTCCTGTGGCCTAGTTCTTTTCCAGAAAGTTCTGCTTCCTTCCCCCAGTGTCAGATGAGTTGAAGTTGTGTATCTCCAATGAGAGCTTCCTTTGCCTCCTTCTCCTACTCTATCTTGGCTGGATTGACATTCTCTGAGGCATCTTTGGAAGCTCCTTCTCCCGAAGGGTTAAATCACTATGTGAGGAGCCTCCTACTGCTTGGGCACCTTTAGTGGAACACTTTTCTACTTTCTGGATCAGCACCCACCTCTGCCTTCCATCCTTAACCTTTTCTACCAGGAATTTATTTTCTTCTTTCTGACGAGACTATCTTGCATTTTCTAGTTTTGAATTGTTGTTGGCTCTGTTCAGCCTAAGTACTCGTCATTCTTTATGCTGTTTAGAATACAGTGGGGAGAGATCTGATCCCTGCTGTACACATGGCTGTCCGCCTGTGATAATACACATACCGTAATGTGCCCCTTAGGAGTCCTGGTGTGGCGCTCTGAGTTAATGCGTCACACTGCAAAGCCGTTTGAACTGCAAGTTCGGCGGTTCAAGCTTACCAGCTGCTCCCTACTGCATTTAACAACAACAACAGTGTGTCCCTTAGGTAACAATATCTGCTTTCTTGTGGGCACAAGATAGGGGAAATTCTCTGAGCAACTTAGGTTAACAAAGACCAAAACAAGTAGAAAGCACATCATCTCAGCTGATCTATTTGGACTCCATCTAGGATCAGCACTAGACTTCAAACCATGGGATCCATGGTTCAAACCCGCCAGCTGCTCCTTGGAAACCCTATACAGGGTCGATAAGGAGTCAGAACCAACTCGACAGCACTAAACAACATTTGTTGCAGTTACCACAGTTCACTGATTGAGTGTTTTATTTCCAAGAGAGAAAGAGCAGTTAGTCAAGACGGGGACTCCAGAGTGTGAAGGGGTCTTTGCTTTCCCTATAGTCCTCCCCCAACTGTAATTGTTTCACCAAAATGAAGTGTATTGGTTTTTAAGAATTGTTTTAAATTTATTTTAAAGTATGTTTTGTTGTGCTTTCTTTCTTAAGGTCTATCAGATCATCAAAACTCTCAGAAAACACAGTTATTATTGCTGTTGTACGCAGGTAAACGTCCCATTTTTTTCCAATGTTGAAATTCAAGTATAATGTATTGTCAGTATAATAATTGCTCTTATAGATGGTTAAATAACAACTTGTATGAAGTGATAGACACGGCACTTGGCTCTTTCTTTTGCATCTCCAGTTAACTTCAAGACAGAAGTTTCTGTGATTTTTCAACTGCCTCTGACTTTAGAACTAGGCAAGCTGTCAGATTAATCCCATTCCTAAGAACATGATTTCTATAAGGATTCGAATTTTATAGCAATGCTGGGAAATCTTCTATTTCATCCATAGATTGGAGGTGAGGAAAACCTGGAAATAACTTGAGGAGGAAGGCAGTATTCAAATAAATGGTATTTAGTTTGTATCTTTTATAGCTATAATATTCCTACGCCCTTTACATTTTCTCCTGAGCTGCTAGGGGGTGGAGGGCACTTTCCTTTTTCTTTTTTTAAGTAAATTGAAAATAGAAGCAAGTAGGAGATAATTTCTTTTAAATAGATGTATGCATTTCTGTATATTCTGGCTGCTAATGTATTTCAAGTATTAATATATAAGTATTATGTAATATATATGTATATGTGTAAATATATATGAAATTGAAACAGAAAATTATTTGCAACTTCATCCTTTAAAAGTTTAGATTCATATGAATTCATCTGAAAGTATTCATTATATGCTCAGTAGCATTATTGTGCAAATTCATGAGTAGTTAACAAGAAGTGGAATATAGTTGAGAATAATGGTCTCTAACTTGCTGTATTCTTTTGAAGGGGGGATAGAGACGAGACATCTGTTATGCCCCTCATTGCTGCTGGCTTTACAAGGGTATGTACCAGCTTTTTTATTATACAAGTATAATTTAATGTGAGAAATTACTTTATCCCAGTTCAGTGCCCAGTAAAGATTTTGAGTTACTTTGGAGTAGAAAGATTGTTCTTGTGCTGTGGTACAGTTTAGTGTAACTTTAAAACCAAATGTGCTCATCTGATCTGTCACACTTTACTGTCTTGCTTTTACTCATTAAAAATCACATCATGGGATATATTCTTATAATGCTTACATATATACATGCAACTTTTAAGACAAATTCAGGGATTCCAGAAATAAGGCAACCCGAACACTGCTCTCTTCTCTTCCACCCCAGTTTCATTCTGTTGGTTTCTCTGAAATCAGAAGACTGCTGGGGCCTTGAGGTTACAAATGAGACTTTGGGAAATCCTGATGGGAAAACTTAAGTACTGCTGACCCTGGGGCAAACTTATAGCCCATGTTTATATCAGAAAGGTAGCCAAGAAACTCTAAGCCATGGATTTAGTTTAAAGTGGTTCTGAAAAATAGTACAGCTAGGTGCTGGCAGAAGCAAATACAAGTCATTCCCAGAGGAAGACACCTTTCAGTTTGGCCTCAGAGAATCTCCACAAGTAATTGTCACAGGGCAATAAGCAGCACTGGTCCAAGCTAACCAATCCACCAAGAGTAAAACTATCCTGATACAGGTTCTCAGTTAGAAGTAGCAGGCACGAATTTTAAAGCAGTTACGCATACTGCTCTTGTAAGGGCCATCAAGTCAGTTCTGACTCAGTGACCCTTTATAGGGTTTCCAAGGAATGCTGCCAAATGGGTTTGAGCTTGTGGTTAGCAGTGCAGTGCTTAGCCTGCAGTGCCATACCAGGACTCCATTCTGCTATTATATGTAAAGAAATATGATCACTTTAATGTGGGAGAAGAAAGTCGCTGCCGACCTAGAATTTTACACATAGAATAAATATCTATCAGAAATGAGGATGAAAGACTTTCAGAAAAATGAAAATTACGAGTGTTCATAACTAGCAGACCCTCACAAACAGATTCCAAAGGATGTAGTTAAAGCAGAATGAAGATGAATCCAGATAGAAGGTCTAAAATGCAGGAAGGAATGAAGGATAAAGAAAATGGTAAATACAGGATAAGTACATTTACTGTATAAAACAGTAGTAATAACAGTGGCGAGTGCAAAGAGCAATTAAAGAGAGAAAATGCAACCCAGGAATTGTACCAGCCGTGTTGCCATTCACCTTTCACAGCAAAAGACAGATACTTGTGGGGATATGTAAGAATCTGAAATAATATTCTGCTAAGATCCCCCCATCTGAGGAAAATAGTTGAGAAAAGACTATGAACATACAAGAAATAAACTAAAAACAAAAACCTTAAGATGAAGGACGATGGAGAAGAGAGAGGAAATGTGGACATCAGTAAAGCTGGCCATTTGCATGTTCTCACACTGCTGCCCTTTGTCTCGGGCTCTCCTTTCTCTCTCATTCTCTATTGTATATGTTGTTGTTAAGTACTATCAAGTCTATTCCAATTCATAGCACCCCTGTATAGGGTTTCCGAGGAGTGGCTGGTGAATTTGAACTGTTGACCTTGTATTTCAGATCCACCTTGTGGTCCAGTGCATTATCCCAGAGTGCCATACCAGGAGCATGTAAATGTGTTTAATTTTATTTATCAGACCTAATTCATTGAAAATACCTTTTTTAACCAACATAAAAGATGACTATACACAGGGACCCCACTAGATGAAATTAATAGAAATCAATTTGACTACATCTGTGGAAAAGCTCCATATCATCAGCCAAAACAAGGCCAGGGGCAGACTGTGGGGCAGACCATCAGTGGCTCACATGCAAGATCAGAAACGGAAGAAAATTATGTAAAGTTGGTGAGAGCCAAAATAGGAACTTGAATAACTCCTACCTGAATTTAGAGATTATCTCAAGAACAGATTGGATGCATTGAACACTAATGACCAAAGACCAGAAGAGTTATGGGATGACATCAAGAACATCATACAGAAAGAAAGCAAATGGTCATTAAGAAGACAAGGAAGAAGGAAAAGGCCAAAATGGATGTCAGAAAAGACTCTGGAACTTGCTCTGAAGCATAGACATGATAAAGCAAATGGAAGAAATGAGGAAGTAAAAGAGCTGAACAAAAATTTCAAAGAGAAGCTCAAGACAAAGTCAAGTCTTACAAAGAAATGTGCAGAGACCTGGAGTTAGAAATAAACCAAAAGGGAAGAACATGCACAGCATTTCTCAAGCTGAAGGAACTAAAGAAGTAATTCAAACCTCAACTTAGAATATTGAAGGACTCTATGGGCAAAATATTGAATGATGAGGAAAGCATCAAAAGAAGATGAAAGGAATACTTACGAAGTCACTGTACCAAAAGGAAATTGGTTGATGTTCAACCATTTCAGAAAGTAACTTAATACCCACTTGACCAGGCTTCAATGACTGGATGATCAGAGCTCAACCAGAAGAAGAAAGAAGAGGGAAAAAAGAGTAATCTGATACAGTTTGATGAACTTGACCTACACCTATGGATGCAGTAACTCAAAACAGGGAACAAATCTTTACAGCAAGGATCATTCCTACCCCCTCCATACACAGAGTAGACAGGGATGGGCAACTTGGGCATTGGCTACCCAAAATGGGGGTGGGGGGCTACTAAGGCAAGAAGTGACTGGTTTACAAGCTTTCAAGAGGGAACCTAGACCCAGAGGGCGTGGAGGAAGGTAGAATCTCCACTGAGTAATATCCAATCTGTCTAGGTGGGGCTGATGAAAGGAAATGTGGATAGGTCTCTTGTGATACAATAGTGAATAATTGTTATAAAGATTGATTGTGAGGCTTGGAAATGTAAAGGTAGACGCTTTATAGCAAGGAGAGGAGTGATTAACTTTTCAGTCTAGGAGTGGAGGTCCCTGGGACCATGAAGGGAGAAGAGCGGAGAGCGGGAACCTACCCAGAGAAGTAGTTATGCCTGAGTTGGAGGCAGAGATGATGACATGGAGAGATGGAGCAGCTGGGGACTTTAGATCCAGAGAGGGAGAGGGGCTGTGTGCTGATGACCGGGGGGCAGGCTTGTAGTGTATACCCTTTGGTTGGTTGTTGATGCATGGAGGGGATTGTAAACCATGGCAATGAAACGATATATGATAGGATGAATGTAAAACTAATGTTCTCCCATGTAAACTATCACATAATTAACAATAAAACATTTTTTGAAAAAAAGTTAGTATCCTGGTATAGCACTGGACTGCAAGATAGGTTTGAACCACAAGATCAACACTTCAAACCTACCAGCTGCTCTTCAAAAACCCTACATATTTGCATCGGACCCAAGCCCTGGTATTTCCCTTAGCTATGGCTTTCCTGTGTGGCACTCTGGGTCAGCACTGAACTGTGAACCACAATGTTAACAGTTCAAACCCACCAGCTGCTCCTCGGAAACCTTATACAGGTTCACTGAGTCAGAACTGACTCAACAGCACTTAACAACAACAATGTGTGAATGTGAAAGTTGGACAGTGAATAAGGAAGACCATACAAGAATTGATGCATTTAAGTTACAGTGTTGGAGATGAATATTAAAAATACCATGGACTGCCAGAACCAATCTTTGCTGGAAGAAGTACAGCCAGAATGCTCCTTAGAAGTCAGGATGACAGCACTTCATCTGTTATACTTTCAACTTACTATCAGGAGGGATCAGTCTCTGGAGAAGGATATCTATCATACTTGGTAAAGTGGAGGGTTAGCGGGGAAAATAGGAAGACCCCCAACGAGCTTGATTAGCACAGTGTCAGCAGCAATGGGCTCAAGCGTGACAATGATTGTTAGCATGGCACAGGATCAGGCAATGTTCCATTCTGTTGTGCATCAGATTGCCATGAGTCAGAACTGACTTGAGGGCACCTAAGAATAAAATCAGACCTAAATAAATAAATATAGAGTAGAACACATGGTACTGTTGTAATAGAAGGGACATACCAAAAGAGAATTTTGATAATAGCTCAGCATTTAAGTTCTAGACAATCATAGCAAGCCCTAGGTGTTTTCGAAGTTTGTGGGAAAAACATTCTCGTGGGGATATCTCGGTCCAGCATCCTCCTCCCCTCTTGGCATGTGGAAGTAGGTAGTATTGTCATCTCTGAGGGTGAGAAGAGCTTGTGTTTTGGCCACAGACATGGTACCATCATTGGACCCATGGCCGTCAGTCCTTGCCTTCCCTCCTGCTGATGCTAATAGCTGTTGTTGACATTAGTATAGCAGTTTTCTGCTAGAGTGCTTCTCCCATCATCTCATTTAATCTTCTTAGCGATCTGTGGTGGGTTGGAGCCGTATTGCTCTTGTTTTAGGTAAGCAAACAGGCTATGGACAGTTAAGTGAACTGTTGTGGGTCATTCAGCTTTTAAGGGATGAACCTGGAACTGAAACATTAGGTTGCCTAATACCCAGACAATACTGTGACCACTGTTCACATGGGACATCTGTCTTGTCTATGACAACAGAAGGAACTCTGGAAGGTGCCCCATGTCAGACTCAGACTTGAAAATAGTGGCCCATAGATGCCCTGTCTCTTAGGCCTCAGCTTCTTTCTCAGTTAGATAGGGTTTGATCCATTAATTAAACAGATACAAGCAAAGAATTGGTCACGGAAATAGGGATCGTATATGCTCACAAATAAGTTTTACATCTGAAAGGAACTATGTGACAATACAGTGGCTTCTAAGACATCAAGGGACACAGTTTGGTGAGATGGCTCTGTGCTTGTCAGAGCCATGTAATTTGCTTTAATTGGCAACAGGTGGTTCCATTACGTAAATGTTGTTCTATAAAAGAACGAATGTCTCCAGCATTGAGATAACTGCGAATCCAGAGCTTCTGCCAGTCCCTCTATCATGGATGCATTGATAATTACTGGTGATTAGAATGAGAAAGTTGGAAACAAAAAGAAAGAATCTGTAGTTGGAGAATATGGCCTTGGTGTTAGAA